AGGTTGTTTTCAGCAAAAATTCTGTTTAAAAATTATATGGTAACATAAGCCACAGGAATGTGGTTTCATGAAGCTTTAAAGTATTTGGAAAAAACTACTATCTTCTGCTGCCTAATCGTTTCTGTCTTGAGGAAGATAACAGACTGAAATTACGATCTTAGAGGCCCCTAGGTCTATGTGATCAGCATTTATTTATTTATTTAATTGATTGATTGATTTTTGTGTCAGTCCTGGGGCTTGAACTTAGGGCCTAAGTGCTGACCATGAGGTTTCTTTCTTTCTTTCTTCCTTTCTTTCTTTTTTTTGGGTCCGGTCGTGGGGCGTGAACTCTGGCCTGAGGCTCTTCAGCTCAAGGCTAGTGCTCTACTACTTGGGCCACAGTGCCAATTCCAGCTTTTTTCTTTTTGCTTATGTGGTAATGAAGAATCGAACCCAGGGCCTCAGGCATGCAAGGCAAGCACTCTACCACTGAGCCACCTTCCCAGCCCTGTATTTTTCTTTCTTTGCTCAAGGCTAATGGCTCTACCATTTGAGCCACAGCTCTACTTTCTGGCTTTTTGGTGGTTAATTGGAAACAACAGTTTCACAAGCTTTCCTGCCCAGGCTGGCTTTGAGCCACAATCTTCAAATCTCAGCCTCCTGAGTACTTAGGATTATAGACGTGCACCTGGATTCAACACATATTTATTTCTGTGTCACATACCTGGACTAATGAGAACCTTCCCTTCAAGTAGCTGATTATCTGGAGAGAGAATCCCCAAATCCAGGATGCAGTGACATACTGAGGTACTTTTAAGACTAATCTAGTCATAAGAACCGTAACTCCCTACAAGAGGTGGAGTCTCAGCTCAGATCTGCAAGATTTTGGCTTGGCAAAAGTGGATGCAGATGGTGGATGGTCAGAATGATCTCCACAAACTCTGAGCAGCAGGCTGCAGGGCATGGCTGGAGCGGGCTCCCAAGAGAGAGGGAGGGAGTGGAGAGGGCGTGTGTCTCAGGTACAGTGATAGAACACAGTGATAGCAGGCAAGCCACATGAAGGAAAGAAATGAAACTCTATGAAAGACTAAGTGTAGTGGAGGAGACTGGGGACCAAGAATCTACCTTTGAACCAGTCTACCTTGGTTTGAACCAGTTCCTAGCTATGTAATCTTCGGCAAGTTATTTAACCACTTTGTGACTACTGCAAGATGGATCTGGAGGACAAGGTCACTTAGAACTCATTCATTTCCTCCCTCTCTCCCTCCTTCTTTTTTTTTTTGTCGGTCGTGGGGCTTGAACTCTGGGCCTGGGCGCTGTCCTTCAGCTCTTCAGCTCAAGGCGAGCACTCTACCACTTCTACAGCGCCACTTCCGGTTTTCTGGTGGTTTATTGGAGATAGGAGTCTCACGGTCTCTTCTGCCCGGGCTGGCTTTGAACCGCGATCCTCAGATCTCAGCCTCCTGAGTAGCTAGGATTACAGGCGTGAGCCACCAGCGCCCGGCTTCTCCCTCCTTCTTTCTCTCCCTTCCTCCCACCTCCTCTCCGTCCCTTCCTTTCCTCCTCTTTCCCCCCTCTCTCTTGCATTACTGGTGGCACTACTGGGGTTTGAACTCAGGGTCTTGCACTTACTAGACAGACCCTCTACTGCTTGAGCCACACCTCCAGCATGTTCGCTTTCTGGACAATGTAGCGTGATCTCAGCATATGTGGCCCTGTGTTCATGAAGTTGCTTGCAAGGACACCAAGGGTCCCTCTGGTTTTGTCCCTCTGATGGTTTGTGCCTTCCAGCTGTCATCCTCAGTCTGCCATGATGCCCAGGGCTGGTCGTGTGGAGGGGTGTGGACAGAGTATCTCTGGCGGGTGGTCCAGAGCGGAGGATGGGAGGTGTAGGGAGATGGCTTTGGGCCAGAGGCAAGTTCCTCAAGTTGTCACATTCCAGTAAACTTGAGTTTGGCTTTCCAGTTATCATAGCAGTGTTATTTTTGAAATAAAGAGACTGGGACATCTTTGATTTAATAGTTTCACACTTTGACTTGTGAGTTTTAAACGTTTAGACAGATGGTGTGTAGATTTCCATCTGGACATCTCCCCTTGCCTGCAAATTTAGGAGTGGGCCTGGCTTGGAGTAGGCTGTAGGCCGGACTCAGAATAATGCTTGGTATCCACGATGTGTCCTCAAGAAACATTAGCCACAGTGATGCTAGGATTAGATAGAAGACAATGCTTTGGGAGACAACTAGCATGGTCTCTGTGGTGGTAAGGAATACCACTAAGGGCAGTGATGGCCACAGGACAAAGGGCAGGGCAAGGCAGGAGCGAGGGCCAGCCTGATGGCAAACTGCAAAATGTCTGCAGCTCTGGTGGGGGGTGGGGAACTTGAGGGTGGTAGGAAAGAAACTTCGAGTGTCTTGTAGGCACAAGTGGGAGGCTTAGAACAGGATGAGATCAATTAGGGAGAAAAGAGAGAAAGATGAGAACCAAGAACAGAGCAGCTAGGAGCAATCCATTAAGAGGCCCGTGCTGGGGGGTGGGGGGTGGGAGGTGGGTGTCTGGAAAGGAGCAGACAGGGGGGCAATAATAAAATAAAGAGAAGTGTGAGGAGGAGTGAGCCACAATGGAGTTGGAGAAAGCGAGGACGGAAGACTCTCTGGGTTGACAATTAGGGGTTGCTGCCGACTTCAGCTAGAGCTATGGAGAGAACGAAAGGCTTGGGGTTGCTTATGAGTGATGAACAAGAGAACAGCACTTCCGGCACACAAAGGAAGTGAGCTATGTCTAGTAGCCACCTTGAGAAGGAAGTGGAGTTCAGGAACAGCTTTATTAGGTTGAGGTGGCTCAACCTCAAAAAGGTTTCAGAGGCTCTACCTCTGAAAGGTAGAGGGAATGAGCAGTGGAGAGAAGGGACTGGAGATACATCAGGAAGAGTGAGAAGTGGAGGAAGCTCCTACCGGAGACAGGAGCAAAGAAATCACTTGAGTGTTTCACCTGGAAGACAAATAACTGAAATCACGTATAGAGCTCAGCAAGGCCCAGCATTTACTGTGTGCCCACCACTGTTCTGGCACAGAGAATGAGAAAGAAATCCTACCAGACTGAGGTGGCTCCAACCTACTGAGGAGGCTGAGATTTGAGGCTTGTGGTTGGAGGTTAACCCTGGGCAGGAAAGTCTGTGAGGCGTTTCTCTCCAGTTAACCACCAAAAGTTTGAAATGGAGCTGTGGCTCAAGTACTAGCCTTGAACAACAACAAGAACAACAAAAAGCTAGGGACAGTGCTCAGACCCTAAGCTGAAGCCCCAGTACCAGCACAAAAAAAGGAAATCTCTATTTATGTGATGTAAATTCTGTAATGTAAAACCAAAAGGGAACCAAATAAAAAAACCAGATAGGCCAGGGTTAGAGGAAGCAGGGTTTGGACAGAAGTACCTATGGGGCAGAGTCTTTCAGATGGAACTTTGTCCCCCACCCCCCCAAGAGAAGACACAAACTAGCAGCCAGGACAGACCTTGGATGTGGCATTCAAATGCAGATGATCTTTTATGACTAAGTGAAGCATGAGAGAAGAATTAAAATGTTCAACAACAAGTTTTCATGATAAATGATTTGAGGAATGTCCTGAAGGCTTGCTGTGCTTATTGTACTCAACGCTTTAATAAAGCCAAGCGAATATCAGTAAGATTGATATTTGAACCTTCAATCCATTGAATAATCATTGCTCCTCCTCTCCCTCCACCAATCATTTCCACGGAGATCCAATCTAACTCAGCTAAATCTGTTTAAGTCTTAGGGCCAATCCATCATCGCTCTTAAGTCATTAATTAAATGAAGGTTTGAAAGAGAAGAAAGAAAAGCAAGGGAGGTATGTTCTGTCATCCTGAAAGACTAGTCTTAGGAACAGACTGAAAGACAGAACAGATCTCCCCTAAGTGGCAGAATGAAGGAGGGGAAATGCTAAATTCATAAGCAGGGATTCAAAGCAGAAAGGGGTCTTTGTTTTGTGCTGGTCCTAGGGCTTGAACTCAGGGCCTGGACTTTTTTCCTTAATGCTAGCACTTTGAGCCATAGCTACAATTCAGCTTTTTTCTTCTTAGTTAGAGATAAGAGTTTCATAGCTTTCCTGGCCAATCAGGCTTTGAACCTTTATTCCTGAATGGCTGGCGAATGGCTAGATCACACATGTTTGAAGCCATTGCATGGACACTTCTTATGATGTGCAAAGAATCCACTACGAGGCCAATTAGGGATCCACTAACCTCATCATGTTCTTCTATGACATCCTGTTACTGTATTCCCTATTGAGCTAAACTTACGAAATCTAATTTTGCTAGTGGAAAAATAGTTTGTTGGGGAGAATACTCTTGTGAACAACTAACTTTCCAAAGGAGTGAATGAATTAGTATTTGTGCAAAAGCAAACTAAAATATCAGACTGCAAATCTCAAAGACACCACACAATGAAAAGGCCTGAAATGAAAAACCATCTTTGTTTTCACACATTGGCTCCTTCAGTGCCTTCCCTTCCCCTTTACACACACTTTATTTATTTATTTTTTAATATATATATTATTGTAAAGATACTGTACAAAGGGGTTACAGTTTCATGAGTAAGGTAATGAGTACATTTCCTATTGAGCCTTGTTACCCCCTATTTTGTTTTACCCCTACATCCCTTCCCTCCCTCCTAACTCCTCCCCCCCCACTGAAGTTGTAAAGTTCATTTTCAACATAATGTCTTATACATTTCATTGTTACAACGGGTCAATATATCCCTATTTAAGCATTCCTTACACCCACTTTTAAAGAAAACAACACACACACACGCACACTTTTTTTTTCCTTTCTGGTCCTAGGGCTTAAACTTGGGGCTTGGGCACTGTCCTTGAGCTTTTTAGCTCAAGGCTAGCATGCTACCACTTGAGCCACAGCTCCAGTTGTGACTTTTGGGATTAATTGGAGATAAGAGTCTCATGGACTTTCCTGCCTGAGCTGGCTTCAAACCATGATCCTCTGATCTTGGCCTCTTGAGTAACTAGGATTATAGGTGTGAGCCAATAGCGCCTGGTAAACCTATATTTTAAAGCAGTTTTTGCTTAGCAAATTGGAGCAAAGGGTACAGTGATTTCCCAAACCAAAATTTGTTCTTCTCCTACAGGTTGATAGCTTTTCTGGCAACACATTCTACTGGAGTGGTCCATTTGCTCAGCTGGTAAAATACCCAAACACGTATTCACTCAGTTTCTAATGTATGTTAGGGTTCACTCTGAGTGGTGTACCAACTATGGATGTGGATAGATTTATAATGATGATTATGTCTAGAGTAAATTCAATTAAGCTGAACTCTGAACCTTCATCCTTTCTCCCCCACCCCAATTCCATGCTCCCCAGTTTTACCTTTCTCAGAAGATCATAGAGGTAGAATCATACAGTGCGTAGCCTTTTCCAGATTGACTTCTTTCACATAAAAATATGCATTTAAGTTTCCTCCACCTCTTTCAACGGTTTGATAGTTCATTTTTTAAATTTCTGAATAACATCCTATTGTTTTGATATACCACTGTCACCTACTTTAAATCTGACCATGTCGTGTTTTTTTTTAACCTCTCCTCAATTCTTTTCACTGCTGAAACACAAAGACAAATTCCAGAGAGAAGTCAGGTGATGAAGAAAAAAGAAAGCCCTGATATTATTATTTAAATTAAGGCTTTCAGACTTTCTGTGGATAATTACCCTTGTCTCATTTTACAAGGAGGGGGGGGTGAGTTTCAATTAGAATATAAAGTAGTCCTTCTAATGTGGGACTGAAGAGACTAGTCCTAGGTATTTGGGTTGTATTTATCTCTGAGAAAAGTCTAGCCTCCAGCATGCATCAGACTGAGATGAGAGAATCTGGGGAAGTGTAATAAGATTTCCTTCTAATGTGGAAGGGAAGGAAGGACAGGGAGGGAAGAAAAATGAGGCAGAGTAGAAAATAAGTTGGCTGAGAGGATGAGAGAAAAGAGAGGGAGAAACTTGCTAAGAACAGGACTCTCCGAGCAAGGTATTTTTCTTCCCTTTGCAAGTTGGGAGCTGTTGAATAATTCATGCCGAGCGTGGCAAGGCTGTCTCTTCCCTGCGTGATGTATAACGGAGCAGGAGAGAGTTCTGAGTGGGTTCGTCACATCAGCCACCACCCTTGGTGCTCTCCCCTGGAGCTCAGCCTCTGCAGCCTGGCATCTTTGCTGCCTGCCTGCCTGCCTGTCTGCCTGCCTGCGTGCCCACCTGCCCGGGGCTTGCAGCCTGCTGGCACCTTACTTTCTCCAGTTCTGCTGCCAACTGAGAAGACTTCCCACAAGCGGCCGCTTCCTGCCTGGGACAGGTGTTTGGATGCTGTTTGGTAGAAGCTGGGCCTTTGCCCCTGGCACGGATCCCAAGCTGAGCGCGGAGTTTCTCCTGTTGATTTCTGGACCACAGATACTGCTGCCCGAGAAGGTATTTCCCCCTCTGCTACTGTCACCAGCTCGGGACGAGCCCCAAAGCCAGCTCCCCTCCATTCTGTCCCCCTTCGCATTCTTCTTTATTTTTTCTTCTTCTCCCGGCTGGTCTCTTTGAAATTAACAACTCCAGCTGATAATATACTCTACTGTACTGTGTGTGTGTGTGTGTGTGTGTGTGTGTGTGTGTGAGTGTGTGTATGGGGGATGGGAAGAGGGGACTGCTCTTGATTTGGCCTTTGGTCCAGGGACTTACCTGGAGCTGCTGTGTGTGCAAGGCAGCTTCACGGCCCCCCCGCCTCCCTCCACCCTGGCACGGGAGACATTTCCCAGGCAGGCATCTTGTCATCTGCCACCCCCATTCTCCTCGATCTCCCCCCTCCCCTCCACTCCCTGAGCCCATTATTCTGCCACAGCCTCCGGTGGGTGGCAGAGGGCCTCCAAGGATGTCTCTGCCCTTCTCTCGGCAGGCAACCAAGTGTCACGATGGGCCGACGCTAGGGCTGGAGGGGTGAAGAGTTGGCCAGAATGACCAACTCCTCGTCCCCATCCTCCTCCACCACCGGGGGATCGCTGCTGCTGCTGTGCGAGGAAGAGGAGCCGTGGGCGGGCCGGCGCATCCCGGTGTCGCTCCTGTACTCGGGTCTGGCCATCGGGGGCACGCTGGCCAACGGCATGGTCATCTATCTCGTGTCGTCCTTCCGAAAGCTGCAGACCACCAGCAACGCTTTCATCGTGAACGGCTGCGCGGCCGATCTCAGCGTGTGCGCCCTGTGGATGCCCCAGGAGGCCGTCCTGGGGCTCCTGCCCGCGGGCTCCGTGGAGCCCCCCGCGGACTGGGACGGCGCCGGGGGCAGCTATCGGCTGCTCCGGGGTGGGTTGCTGGGCCTGGGGCTCACGGTGTCCCTCCTGTCCCACTGCCTGGTGGCTCTGAACCGCTACCTCCTCATCACCAGGGCGCCGGCCACCTACCAGGTGCTGTACCAGCGGCGCCACACGGCGGGCATGCTGGCGATGTCCTGGGCGCTCGCCCTGGGTCTGGTGCTGTTGCTGCCGCCTTGGGCCCCGCGGCCGGGGGCCTCGCCGCCGCAGATCCACTACCCGGCGCTGCTGGCGGCGGGCGCGCTGCTGGCGCAGACGGCGCTGCTGCTCCACTGCTACCTGGGCATCGTGCGCCGCGTGCGTGTCAGCGTCAAGCGGGTCAGCGTGCTCAACTTCCACCTG